CCACCTTCCTCCCCTGGACCATACACCTGACCACCTTCCTCCCCTGGACCATACACCTGACCACCTTCCTCCCCTGGACCATACACCTGACCACCTTCCTCCCCTGGACCATACACCTGACCACCTTCCCCCTGGACCATACACCTTCCTCCCCTGGAACATACACCTGGCCACCTTCCTCCCCTGGACCATACACCTTCCTCCCCTGGACCATACACCTGGCCACCTTCCTCCCCTGGACCATACACCTTCCTCCCCTGGACCATACACCTTCCTCCCCTGGACCATACACCTGGCCACCTTCCTCCCCTGGACCATACACCTTCCTCCCCTGGACCATACACCTGACCACCTTCCTCCTCTGGACCATACACCTGACCACCTTCCTCCCCTGGACCATACACCTGACCACCTTCCTCCCCTGGACCATACACCTTCCTCCCCTGGACCATACACCTTCCTCCCCTGGACCATACACCTGGCCACCTTCCTCCCCTGGACCATACACCTTCCTCCCCTGGACCATACACCTTCCTCCCCTGGACCATACACCTGACCACCTTCCTCCCCTGGACCATACACCTTCCTCCCCTGAACCATACACCTGACCATCTTCCTCCCCTGGACCATACACCTTCCTCCCCTGGACCATACACCATCCTCCCCTGGACCATACACCTGGCCACCTTCCTCCCTGGACCATACACCTTCCTCCCCTGGACCATACACCTGACCACCTTCCTCCCCTGGACCATACACCTTCCTCCCCTGGACCATACACCTTCCTCCCTGGACCATACACCTTCCTCCCCTGGACCATACACCTTCCTCCCCTGGACCATACACCTTCCTCCCCTGGACCATACACCTGGCCACCTTCCTCCCTGGACCATACACCTTCCTCCCCTGGACCATACACCTGACCACCTTCCTCCCCTGGACCATACACCTTCCTCCCCTGGACCATACACCTTCCTCTCCTGGACCATACACCTGGCCACCTTCCTCTCTTGGACCATACACCTGGCCACCTTCCTCCCCTGGACGATACACCTTCCTCCCCTGGACCATAGACCTGACCATCTTCCTCCCCTGGACCATACACCTGACCATCTTCCTCCCCTGGACCATACACCTGACCACCTTCCTCCCCTGGACCATACACCTTCCTCCCCTGGACCATACACCTTCCTCCCCTGGACCATACACCTGGCTACCTTCCTCCCCTGGACCATACACCTTCCTCCCCTGAACCATACACCTGACCATCTTCCTCCCCTGGACCATACACCTGACCACCTTCCTCCCCTGGACCATACACCTTCCTCCCCTGGACCATACACCTGACCATCTTCCTCCCCTGGACCATACACCTGGCCACCTTCCTCCCCTGGACCATACACCTTCCTCCCCTGGGCCATACACCTGACCACCTTCCTCCCCTGGACCATACACCTGACCACCTTCCTCCCCTGGACCATACACCTGACCATCTTCCTCCCCTGGACCATACACCTGACCACCTTCCTCCCCTGGACCATACACCTGACCACCTTCCTCCCCTGGACCATACACCTGACCACCTTCCTCCCCTGGACCATACACCTGGCCACCTTCCTCCCCGTTGGACCATACACCTTCCTCCCCTGGACCATACACCTGACCACCTTCCTCCCCTGGACCATACACCTGACCACCTTCCTCCCCTGGACCATACACCTGGCCACCTTCCTCCCCTGGACCATACACCTGACCACCTTCCTCCCCTGGACCATACACCTGACCATCTTCCTCCCCTGGACCATACACCTGGCCACCTTCCTCCCCTGGACCATACACCTGACCACCTTCCTCCCCTGGACCATACACCTTGCCACCTTCCTCCCCTGGACCATACACCTGACCACCTTCCTCCCCTGGACCATACACCTGACCACCTTCCTCCCCTGGACCATACACCTTCCTCCCCTGGACCATACACCTGGCCACCTTCCTCCCCTGGACCATACACCTGGCCACCTTCCTCCCCTGGACCATACACCTGGCCACCTTCCTCCCCTGGACCATACACCTGTCCACCTTCCTCCCCTGGACCATACACCTGGCCACCTTCCTCCCCTGGACCATACACCTGTCCACCTTCCTCCCCTGGACCATACACCTGGCCACCTTCCTCCCCTGGACCATACACCTCCCTTCCCTGGACCATACACCTGACCACCTTCCTCCCCTGGACCATACACCTGTCCACCTTCCTCCCCTGGACCATACACCTGACTTAAAGGTGGGTTTTAATCTTTCACCTCACACCTCCTGCTCATATTCTCTTGCCTCAGTCATGAAGCCAGTCTCCCTCATTGGTGGAGCTAGGCTCCCTCATTGGTGGAGCCAGGCTCCCTCATTGGTGGAGCTAGGCTCCCTCATTGGTGGAGCCAGGCTCCCTCATTGGTGGAGCTAGGCTCCCTCATTGGTGGAGCCAGGCTCCCTCATTGGTGGAGCCAGTCTCCCTCATTGGTGGAGCCAGCCTCCCTTATTGGTGGAGCCTGTCTCCCTCACTGGTGGAGCCAGCCTCCCTCATTGGTGGAGCCAGCCTCCCTCATTGGTGGAGCCAGCCTCCCTCATTGGTGGAGCCAGCCTCCCTCATTGGTGGAGCCAGCCTCCCTCATTGGTGGAGCCATCCTCCCTCATTGGTGGAGCCAGCCTCCCTCCTCATAACTATCATGTAGGATGCAAATATCTCATAAAATTCCATTATGTCGGTCGCCGGCTTCCCTGTACGGGCCTCATATTAATATATATCATCCAAGGCCAATTATTGCCTTTTTGTAATTTAAATCCCAGCTCGCCGGTACAAAAGTGGCTTTTGACGTTTGACTTTTCTCTGGCGAATTATTTTCACTCCTGATTTTTTTGTGTACGAGAAACGTGTCACTGGGAATAGATATATCTATTACTAGCTGTACCCGGCCACGCGGTGCTGTGGCTCAGCCAGCAACCTTCTCCCTGTCTCCCAGTCCTCCCCACCATTCCCCACTTCCCCGTCCCATTGTCCTCCCCTCCTTTCCCCACTCCCTCCTCCGATGCCTTCCCAAATGATATGATGTTCCCATCAGATAATTGGGGACATCAAATGATCTGATATTCCTATCACTGAAAATAAGGAATACAATTAAAAAACGAAATGAAAAACAATTAAAAAAACTATACTCACGAAATGAGTGGGTGTGTATGAGTTATTTACCATACATTACCAAATGTATGTGCTCAAATCAACACAGCTCAATTCCAACGCAATGTCACAAAATAATTAAATCAAAATAAAAATAACTCGAAATATATGAAAATTTAATTGGTCAATTACAATCGGAAACATTGAAATGGAATCATAATATATTTAGTATTGTGTGTATGTCTCCTACGTGCAACAGATGGCGCTGTTTCTTAAAAAAGAATATTTTTACCTGTCACAGGTGTGGCATTTATACTTATACTTACGAAATGAACGGAATGGCAAACAACACAGCTCAATTCCAACACAATGTCACACAAAATAATTAAATCAATATTAAAATAAATCGAAGTCTATGAAAATTCAATTTATCAATGCAACTGGAAACATTGAAATTGAATTCATTACATATATATATCATGTTTGTTGCTATTATGTGCAACAGATGGTGCTTTAAAAAAACATGTTTTTACCTGTCACAGGTGAGGCACGTATATAGTAGGTATATAAAAACATGCGCATATTCAAATGCAACGTTGTGTCAAAATTTCAAAGCAATCGTCGAAGACCTTTCGGAGATTAGCGATTTTGAAGAAACGAACATTTCCATTTTATTTATATAGATTGGTAATAGATAATTCTATTGGTATTACCAATAAAAGAGATGTAGACGGGCTAGATCAAACAGTCGTGTTCTGTACGGAGTGATACAGTGTGAGTGAATAGGTTGACCACACCAGCCTGTACACTGAGTACAGGCTGGCGGGTCAAGGTGGTCTCTTGATGTGTCGTAACGTGCCAAGTACATTGTACTAAACTAACTAGAAATACACAAATTCAAACAGAGTTCCTAACTTAACTTAGCTTAACCTAACTTAACCTCACCTAACCTCACCTCACCTCACCTTACCTAACCTAACCTAACCTAACCTAACCTAACCTAGCTTAACCTCACCTAACCTAACCTAACCTCACCTAACCTCACCTCACCTCACCTTACCTAACCTAACCTAACCTAACCTAACCTAGCTTAACCTAACCTCACCTAACCTAACCTAACCTCACCTAACCTCACCTAACCTAACCTCACCTAACCTAACCTAACCTAACCTAACCTAACCTAACCTAACCTAACCTAACCTCACCTAACCTCACCTCACCTCACCTTACCTAACCTAACCTAACCTAACCTAACCTAGCTTAACCAAACCTCACCTAACCTAACCTAACCTCACCTAACCTCACCTAACCTAACCTCACCTAACCTAACCTAACCTAACCAACCGATACATAGAAAACGAGAATATTTGTGAGCCCTCTACTTTTCATAGTACTCTGTAATTTGCCCGTTGGGGGGTCCAGAGCGTAGAAAATGAGATGCTGGGAGGACATGTTGTGTTGGTGTAGGGATAAAGTGGATTATACATATGGATAAAGAGGAGACAAGTTAATATGTCAGGATAATATGGATTTCATAAGCCATAACACTATTGAGTGTAGATTCAGGAAAGACCTGGGTAAATACTGGTTTGGAAACAAGAGTTGCTGCTTTATGGAAGAAATGATCGTGGTAACATAATAGACGAGGGCTCACTTTATTGTTTCAAGTGTAGGTCAGACATATGCATGCGTCTGAATGGATTAAAAAGCAAAGCAACTGCCTCATATGAGCCATTATCGGCTAGTCTAGTTAATTTACTCTTATAAATTATATGATTGATCACTTTGCGCTTACGATTTAGAATTGTAGGGAATACTAAAATAGACCGACCTTTGCAGGGACAGAAGCCTTTACAAGCGATGTGGACGGCGGCGTCGTGTATACAGTTGTGGTAGTTGAGGCGACAGGTGGAGGAGTAAGTCCGGTTGTCGGAGCCGCACAGGAACACCGGACCCACCACCGGACACGACGGGCACTGCCTGCAACAACAACTCTCTTGATCCACTTGATCCAATACCAGTCAAATGACAGTGGAGAGGCGGGGTCAAAGAGCCAAAGCTCAACACCTCACCCGGCCAGCACAACTAGGTGAGTACACTAATCTGAACATGTTCTCCACGTGTTCTGCGTCACCAAGAGCCAGGGGTTGGTCACCAAGAGCCAGGGGTTGGTCACCAAGAGCCAGGGGTTGGTCACCAAGAGCCAGGGGGTTGGTCACCAAGAGCCAGGGGTTGGTCACCAAGAGCCAGGGGTTGGTCACCAAGAGCCAGGGGTTGGTCACCAAGAGCCAGGGGGTTGGTCACCAAGAGCCAGGGGTTGGTCACCAAGAGCCAGGGGTTGGTCACCAAGAGCCAGGGGTTGGTCACCAAGAGCCAGGGGTTGGTCACCAAGAGCCAGGGGTTGGTCACCAAGAGCCAGGGGTTGGTCACCAAGAGCCAGGGGTTGGTCACCAAGAGCCAGGGGTTGGTCACCAAGAGCCAGGGGTTGGTCACCAAGAGCCAGGGGTTGGTCACCAAGAGCCAGGGGTTGGTCACCAAGAGCCAGGGGTTGGTCACCAAGAGCCAGGGGTTGGTCACCAAGAGCCAGGGGTTGGTCACCAAGAGCCAGGGGTTGGAGCACTGATGCTCCCGCCTGCGGAACCTCTACATCCTTTCAAGTCACAGTTGTACAGCTGTGTACGTGACACTCACAGGTGTACACGTGTGTACATGACACTCACAGGTGTAGAGCTGTGTACATGACACAGGTGTAGAGCTGTGTACATGACACAGGTGTACACGTGTGTACATAACACTCACAGGTGTAGAGCTGTGTACATGACACAGGTGTACACGTGTGTACATGACACTCACAGGTGTAGAGCTGTGTACATGACACAGGTGTACACGTGTGTACATGACACTCACAGGTGTAGAGCTGTGTACATGACACAGGTGTACACGTGTGTACATGACACTCACATGTGTAGAGCTGTGTACATGACACAGGTGTACACGTGTGTACATGACACAGGTGTACACGTGTGTACATGACACTCACAGGTGTAGAGCTGTGTACATGACACTGGTGTAGAGCTGTGTACATGACACAGGTGTACACGTGTGTACATGACACAGGTGTACACGTGTGTACATGACACTCACAGGTGTAGAGCTGTGTACATGACACTGGTGTAGAGCTGTGTACATGACACAGGTGTACACGTGTGTACATGACACAGGTGTACACGTGTGTACATGACACTCACAGGTGTAGAGCTGTGTACATGACACTGGTGTAGAGCTGTGTACATGACACAGGTGTACACGTGTGTACATGACACACGTGTACACCAACTTACAAACACATTGCTTACTGTTTGACTGGTGGTATATATTGGTAATAGTGCCAGTGGTAAGCCTAGTAATAACAGTTTTAGGCCTAGTTACGATAACAGCAGTAGGCCTAGTTACCATAACAGCAGTAGGCCTAGTTATGATAACAGCAGTAGGCCTAGTCACGATAAAAGTTTTAGGCCCAGTTACGATAACAGCAGTAGGCCTAGTTACGATAACAGCAGTAGGCCTAGTTACGATAACAGCAGTAGGCCTAGTTACGATAACAACAGTAGGCCTAGTTACGATAACAGCAGTAGTCCTAGTCACGATAACAGCAGTAGGCCTAGTTACGATAACAGCAGTAGGCCTAGTTACGATAACAGCAGTAGGCCTAGTTACGATAACAGCAGTAGGCCTAGTCACGATAACAGCAGTAGGCCTAGTTACGATAACAGCAGTAGGCCTAGTTAAGATAATGGTAGTACGCAACTAGATCTTTGGCTTATATCCGGACTGCGCAGACTATTGCGCTAAAGAGTCCTGTACTAGGAATGTCCTGAGGCGGGACCCAGGAACCGTTGCTCAACCCACCAAGCACATGTAGGTGACATACACATTCGTTAAATGCCCTCTGAGAGGACGCATGTGAGTGTGGTAAGAATTGTTCACCACTGCGCTACGGAGAGGCAGTTGAAAGAAGAGCACGTGGACTTAAATTGAGGGGAAACTGCATTAAATTAGGAAGACAATGTAAAGAAAATGGTGAAGTTTTTTGTAATGGACTCCGGGGTAACTGCAGCGGATCACTTAATGGTCCTCGGAGTGTTAATAGCCGTTCGCAGGCGACAAGGGCGGCGACTTCGGGTATTGTAGCGAGAGGATCACCTCTAGCGAACACCAACAGGTGTAAAGAGGGAAAAAAGGACCTAGACGAATAGGGAGTACTGGAGTACCAGACTTGAGTGACAATAAAGGAGAAAATGAGACGGAGATTCATTTATTACAAAGAAAATGTGCAGTTAAGTGTGAAGTGGAGGGGAGACTCTGGGAAATATGCAGTTAATTTATTTTATGTAAACATTGGACACCTAGGAGGTGTGCGGCCCGTCATTTAACAAATTACGTCGCTTTTCGCTCGTATGCATTACGGCCAAAAATCGCCGTATTGAAATTAAAAAAAATGTACATTAATTTTCTAAATCAAATAGACCCAAAGCAGCAAGTTATGGATCTTCTGGAAGATGAGGAATACACTGATATTGCGTGCGTGTTCGCGTGTGTTTTCGTGCCAATACAGCACAGACAGCGCTTAAACGTCCTGCTTTGTTCACAGGTGGGTACAGGAGCAGACGACTGCTGACTCCTGTTAGCTGGGTGAGAGCGTTCCCTTCCCATAGCTCATGGTAAGCCTTACCCTACTAGTTTTACACACAGGAGGGTACAGGAGCAGACGACTCCTGACTCCTGTTAGCTGGCTGAGAGCTTTCCCTTCCCATAGCTCATGGTAAGCCTTACCCTACTAGTTTTACACACAGGAGGGTACAGGAGCAGACGACTCCTGACTCCTGTTAGCTGGCTGAGAGCTTTCCCTTCCCATAGCTCATGGTAAGCCTTACCCTACTAGTTTTACACACAGGAGGGTACAGGAGCAGACGACTGCTGACTCCTGTTAGCAAGCTGAGAGCTTTCCCTTCCCATAGCTCATGGTAAGCCTTACCCTACTAGTTTTACACACAGGTGGGTACAGGAGCAGACGACTGCTGACTCCTGTTAGCTGGCTGAGAGCTTTCCCTTCCCATAGCTCATGGTAAGCCTTACCCTACTAGTTTTACACACAGGAGGGTACAGGAGCAGACGACTGCTGACTCCTGTTAGCAAGCTGAGAGCTTTCCCTTCCCATAGCTCATGGTAAGCCTTACCCTACTAGTTTTACACACAGGTGGGTACAGGAGCAGACGACTGCTGACTCCTGTTAGCTGGCTGAGAGCTTTCCCTTCCCATAGCTTATGGTAAGCCTTACCCTACTAGTTTTACACACAGGAGGGTACAGGAGCAGACGACTGCTGACTCCTGTTAGCTGGCTGAGAGCTTTCCCTTCCCATAGCTCATGGTAAGCCTTACCCTACTAGTTTTACACACAGGTGGGTACAGGAGCAGGCGACTGCTGACTCCTGTTAGCAGGCTGAGAGCTTTCCCTTCCCATAGTTCATGGTAAGCCTTACCCTACTAGTTTTACACACAGGTGGGTACAGGAGCAGACGACTGCTGACTCCTGTTAGCTGGCTGAGAGCTTTCCCTTCCCATAGCTCATGGTAAGCCTTACCCTACTAGTTTTACACACAGGTGGGTACAGGAGCAGACGACTGCTGACTCCTGTTAGCTGGCTGAGAGCTTTCCCTTCCCATAGCTCACGGTAAGCCTTACCCTACTAGTTTTACACACAGGTGGGTACAGGAGCAGACGACTGCTGACTCCTGTTAGCTGGCTGAGAGCTTTCCCTTCCCATAGCTCATGGTAAGCCTTACCCTACTAGTTTTACACACAGGAGGGTACAGGAGCAGACGACTGCTGACTCCTGTTAGCAGGCTGAGAGCTTTCCCTTCCCATAGCTCATGGTAAGCCTTACCCTACTAGTTTTACACACAGGTGGGTACAGGAGCAGACGACTGCTGACTCCTGTTAGCTGGCTGAGAGCTTTCCCTTCCCATAGCTCATGGTAAGCCTTACCCTACTAGTTTTACACACAGGTGGGTACAGGAGCAGACGACTGCTGACTCCTGTTAGCTGGCTGAGAGCTTTCCCTTCCCATAGCTCATGGTAAGCCTTACCCTACTAGTTTTACACACAGGTGGGTACAGGAGCAGACGACTGCTGACTCCTGTTAGCTGGCTGAGAGCTTTCCCTTCCCATAGCTCATGGTAAGCCTTACCCTACTAGTTTTACACACAGGTGGGTACAGGAGCAGGCGACTGCTGACTCCTGTTAGCAGGCTGAGAGCTTTCCCTTCCCATAGTTCATGGTAAGCCTTACCCTACTAGTTTTACACACAGGTGGGTACAGGAGCAGACGACTGCTGACTCCTGTTAGCTGGCTGAGAGCTTTCCCTTCCCATAGCTCATGGTAAGCCTTACCCTACTAGTTTTACACACAGGTGGGTACAGGAGCAGACGACTGCTGACTCCTGTTAGCAGGCTGAGAGCTTTCCCTTCCCATAGTTCATGGTAAGCCTTACCCTACTAGTTTTACACACAGGTGGGTACAGGAGCAGACGACTGCTGACTCCTGTTAGCAGGCTGAGAGCTTTTCCTTCCCATAGTTCATGGTAAGCCTTACCCTACTAGTTTTACACACAGGAGGGTACAGGAGCAGACGACTGCTGACTCCTGTTAGCTGGCTGAGAGCTTTCCCTTCCCATAGTTCATGGTAAGCCTTACCCTACTAGTTTTACACACAGGAGGGTACAGGAGCAGACGACTGCTGACTCCTGTTAGCTGACTGAGAGCTTTCCCTTCCCATAGTTCATGGTAAGCCTTACCCTACTAGTTTTACACACAGGAGGGTACAGGAGCAGGCGACTGCTGACTCCTGTTAGCAGGCTGAGAGCTTTCCCTTCCCATAGTTCATGGTAAGCCTTACCCTACTAGTTTTACACACAGGTGGGT